GAGGGGCGGGGCCGTGCGCGGCATGGGGCAGGACGAGGTGGCCGAGTGGTGAAGGCGATGGACTGCTAATCCATTGTGCTCTGCACGCGTGGGTTCGAATCCCACCCTCGTCGGGACTTTTGCTGCTGCGCGGGGGGGAGATGGGGACAGCCGGGGCTGGCGGGCCTGCGGCCGGGGTTGGCTCAAGCCCCTGCCTGGCACACGGGGACCCTGGGCTCGACTCCCAGCGGTGTCTGAGCCCCGGAGGGGGGCGGGGGGGGATGTAGTAGCAAGGACCTGGGCCACCATGGCGACTGCATCCTCCCAAGGGGAAGAGGTCAGCAGTCCCTCCGCAGTAGCGTTTGACTTTGGAAAGAGGATGGCAGGAGGAAACCAAAGAGCTCAGGCAGAAGAAATTGAAGCAGCATCTAAAAGGGCACCCAGGTCCTGGCATGGAGGTGGCTGGAAGTCTCTTATCCAAGACTCATGGAAGAAACCCACTCAGAAATCCTTAAAACAGCTATTACTGCAGAAAATGGCTCTTAAGAAATAAAACAATAACCCTCCAAAAGAGGAGAGCGCAACTGGAAAGCAAACTGGGACAAATGAAGCATGAAGCCATGATGAAATGGATACCTTGGGGAGAGAGGGCAGAGAAGACGGGAAGGGATTTGCATCAGAGGGGTCGGTGAACATGCCCATTCATTTTAACTGCAAAAAAGAAAGAAAGAGCAAAAGGCAGAGTGCAAATCCCATCTTGCACACGGTGGGAGCCTGGAGGGGGGAGAGGAAAGTGCCCTGGCCCCACACCACCCTGAGCCCCGGTTGGCACCGTGATGCCCAGTGGCTCCAGGCAAGCTGCCTGGAGAGGGACCCAAACAAAGACCTGGTGGATCAGCTCCCTGCACCCCACCTGGCAGGGGGATTAGCCCTCTCCTGCAGCTAATCCTGGCCATCTGACAGGCCTGGGCACCCTGGGAAGGTAACTGAGATGCTGCCAGGTCCCTCCTGCCAGCCCTGCTAGGCATAAAGGGCCCGGTGAGCTGGCTGCAGGTAGAGCAGCCATGCTGGGGGGACAGGTCCTGCTGCTGCTCGTGGGGCTCACAGGCACAGCACCGCAGGGGCAGGGGCAGGACCTGGGTGAGAGGGATACCTCGGTCACCGCCATGTCCAACAGGGGAGACTGGGCCTGGCTGGAGATGTGCCCCAAGGGCTTCTACACCAGTGGCGTCAGCTTCAAGGTGCAGCCTCTGCGCCGGTGCCCACGGCTGGTTGGGGGACCCTGCTCCCATGGGAACTCTGTTCCCTCACAGGTAGAACGCGTTGGGGGACTCTGCTCCCATGGGAACTCTGTTCCCTCACAGGTAGAACGCGTTGGGGGACTCTGCTCCCATGGGAACATCTGTTCCCTCACAGGTAGAGCCACCCCAGGGTGTGATGGAGGATGACACGGCACTCAACGGGATTTGGCTGCACTGCTCCCGCAGTGGGGACCCCAGTGGCGGCTACACAGCTGAGTCCCAGAGTGGCAGGTGAGCTCCTGGTGGTCCTTGTCCCCTCCCTGTGTCTGGAGAACCTCCTCCACAGCTGCCCCCAGCTCTGAAGGGCTTGCACTCTCTCCTCCTCCTGCACCTCCTGGCCTCAGCACTGACCATCTTCTCTCTTCCCCATCTAGTTGGGGCCACTGGTTGGAGGCCCGCTGGTGCACCCACTGAGGGCACCTAGTGGGCTTCGTGCTGTGAGTCCAGCCACCGCAGTGCAGGCTCCTGAGCAATGAAGTGGCCACCACCAGTGCCCACTTTGCCTGCTCTGATGGGCATGTCCTGGAGGGGCCAGGGTCTGCCTGGGGCCAGTGGGGTGGCTGGAGCCCCCGGTGCCCCCGCGTGGTGTGTGGCATCCAGACACAGCAGGATCCTGCATGGGGCCTGAAGAGGGATGACACGGCCCTGAATGATCTGCATCTCTTCTGCCCTTAACGAACACTGGCAACCCCCTGCAGGGCACCCAATGCCATGACCCAGCCCCACAGCAAAGCCTGTGCCCCGGGGTCCACTTTCCTAGGACCTCACATCCACTGGCAGATGCCTTAGCCCTGGTACCCTCAGGGGGCACCTTCCCCTCATCCCCATGGGCTCCATCATTGCGTATGTGCTGCTGCCAGCCCCCCAACACTTACCGTGGTTCTGAGAGATGCTCCCAAGTCCTTTCTGCCCCCACCCAGACTTCCAGATATTCCTCAGAATCTCCAGGACTGTCCCTGTCCTACCCTGAAATAAGCTTCTGGTAAGAGCATACTTCGTCGTTGGGAGAGGGCAAACCAGGGCAGCGGGGCAGAGAAGCAGGGAGCTGCAGCTGGCCCTGCCAGGGGACCGGGATGCAACCCCCAACTAAGGGGGTAACCGAGAAGTTGCAGCTGGACCCTCCTCAAAGGGCAAAAGGATGGGAGGCTGCGGGCAGTGGAGAAAATCCTCTAGTGTGTCCCCTGATCGGGGCAGAGATCCCCAGCTGTGCCCCCAGCTTGGGGCAGGGAGGAAAAAGAACCCCAGGGCCAGGCACCACTGGGAGTCGAACCCAGGATCTCCTGTTTACTAGACAGGCGCTTTAACCAGCTGAGCCATGGCGCCCACCTGCCCCACTGCCATGGGGTGCCCCACAGCCATGGGATGTGCCACAGCCACTGCCTCTGTCCCCATCCTGCTGCCACCCCAACACCAGGGTCACCTGTAAGACCAAAGGGCCTGGGCACAGGGTTGGGAATCCGGGGATGAGGGACAGTTCTGTGTGTCACGCTAAGCTCAAAGCCCTGGCAACTGCGGGGTGTTTCTGGGAGATAAAAGTCAACGGCGGGGTCCCAAATAAGCTCTGCACCAGCCAGGTGGGAGTGGGGTGGTGGGTGCGCAAAAGGAGGGCTCGTCCGGGAGTTGAACCCGGGACCTCTCGCACCCTAAGCGAGAATCATACCCCTAGACCAACGAGCCGGGGTGCACAGCTGGGACCCAGCCCCAATCCTGTCCCCCACGGCCTCGGGCACCGCACATGGCAACCGGTGCCCAGCGCAGGTGGGGGCTGCCCCGGGGCACTGCCCTCTCCCTCCCCTCTGCTCTCTGCCCATCGGCTCC